TAACACAGAGCAGCTGCAGAGCCTGGCCCTCCAGGATGGGAAGGGATGAGGCATTTTGCAGAGTCTCGAGGGCTTTGGGGTAGAGAGGGAGAGAGAAAGAGATGGCGTGGGCAAAGCTGGCATCTCTCTCCTCCTGTGTGTCCACTCCAGTCCTGGGGAGAGGACAGGCAGAGTCCGGGCCCCAACCTTCAGAAGAGGCCCAGACGGTTTCCCTGGAGCTGCCCAGACTGCCCAGCACGCAGAGGGTAGAGGGCCCAGGACAGGGATACAGTAAGCAAACGTAGCTATGGGCCAAAGAAGAGCCTAAGGAAGCAGGAGGAGGTAAAACGGCAAAGAGAAGGACAAAGCAAGAGGGGTGTGACAACTTCCTTCGGATCTGGCCAGAGAAAGCTGTGGGTGAGCAGATTAGCTTCAGGGAGCTGAGCTTTGAGGGGGCGCCTGTGCTCTCCCCGCATCTGAGTGGGTCTGACAGTGGGTCTGGCTCCCTGTATATATCCCACTGAGTCCTCAGCCTGTTGGAGCTCTGAGATCCAACCAGGGTCTGCCCCGGCAGAGACCTGGGTTCCATCCAGCTCTGGAGACAAAAGGTTTTTTCCTACCTGGTCTGTTTCCTTGGAAGATGCTGATGGCCACGTTCTGTGGAGCATCTGGGACAGAAGGATATGACAGCATCAGTATCCATGGTGAGGGAAGGGGGGGCACTGGGACTTCCCCCAGGAGCCATGGAAACACGTATTGGGGGGGTCCCTTCCTGTTTAGCTACTGAGACCCCAATGTCAAGCCCTGCCCAGCTCTGCCTTGGCCCCCACCTTCAGGACCTGGGCATCCTCACCCCTCACTCACAGGTGACGTTGAGCTGGATGGTCCTTTCCACGATCACCCCAGTTGTGGGGAACATCACCTGACAGGTGACAGTTGTGCTGTGGTCCTGGGGCCGTGGGGTGAGGGTGAGCACTGAGGAGAGGAGGGTCTTGGGGCCCAGGGAGGTGAGGGCAGCTGATGTCCAGGAGAAGATGGGGGGTGTGCCCTGCTCACAGGCCCAGGGCACCGAGCAGGTCAGGTTCCTGGGGCAGCCAGACTCCAGGGTCTCCGGGATGGGGATGTGGGGTTTGTGGATCAGAGCTGGTGAGGAGAAACAGAAGAATGGGGTCCCTTGGCATGTTGCCAGCTTGCCCCAGGGTCTTGTCCTGGCGTCCCCATCCCAGCCCCAGGAGGAAGAGAACCTTGATTCTTCTATTTCCGATGCCCCATACCCCAGGGTCTTTCCCTGGGCCCCGACCATACCTGTCACCTTCAGAGAGAACATTTTATCTAGATATGAGTGTTTACTGAAGGATGTCTCCACGTGAAAGAAGTATGTCCCACTGTCCTCCATGCTGACGTCTCTGATGCTCAGGGAGCAGTTTTTGGTCCAGAAGTCCCCGAGGAGAAAGAACCGCCCCCGAGTCCTTTCATGCAGCTTCTGTTCGGGCTTGTTGGTGGCCACTGGAGGATCATGTGTTATATCTGCCCCTTTCTGGAACCAAAACATGTAGGAGGTTCCCAAAGACCAGGGGTAGGAAAATTTGCACGGCACAAGGACACACAGGCTCTCCTGCACAGTCACCGTCTCCGGTAGTTCCAGCTGGTAACTCAGCACTCGAACCAGGGGTGCTGGGGAGAGGGAGGTACTCAGCCTGGAGCCCCAGGGCCTCCCCCCAAGTGGCGGCCCCCCTCCCCTAGGCCCACTCACCTCCCCACAGCACAGGCAGCAGCAGCAGTTGTAGAAGGCACATCTCTTCCTCGTGCCCCCAGACAGTCTGCCTTCTGGAGTCCCTCTGAGGGAGAAGAGAAAGCTGCTGATACTGGAGGGCAACGGAAGCTTAGATAGGAAGCCTGTGGTGAAAACCACAGCCCTGAAGAGGGAACTTCAGACTCAGAGCGAGAGAGTCAGCTGTGATTGGCCCATTGAGATGGTTCAGCCCCATTTCTGCACGTGGAAGGTGAACCCTGAGGCTCAGAGTCCAAGGAAGGCAGCAAGGAAGGACAAGAACCCTCAAGTCCCACCTGCTGGGCTCCTGCACAATCAGCGGGTCCCCCCTGGCCAGCTCCCAGAGAGTTATGGCCTTGGGACCCCCACGGAGGTGACTTGCTAGGGGTGGACCTCAAGATAGCCTCTGTGGGCGCCAGGGGCAGGAAAGGGGCCAGAGGAGGCAAGAGAAGCAGCACATAGCTTTACTCATATCATGACAGCATGCATTTATTCACTCATTCACAAACTAACATTAAAAAAAAAAGATGAGGATCAGTCCTGACCCTTGACTGGCTCAAGCACTGTTGGGAAGACAGACAAGCTCGATGTTTATCAGAGGGCAATGGGGAGCCATGGAAGGTTCTTGAGCAGGAAAAGGGGTAGAGTCACGTAGGTATCCACGTGTCCCTTCTGGGGCCATGTTGTAAGGAAGAGCTAGAGGGAGGGGACTGAAGGCCAAGAGGAAACCGTTGTGCTTGTTCAGGAAGAAGAGAGCCAAGCCTGAGTGGAGACAGCCGCCTTGGTGACGGACAGAAGGAGCCACTGAAGACACTTTTCTCGAAGTGAAATTTGAGGAAAGGTGTGGTGGGTGGGGAAAGAGGCGTCCAGAGTGGGAGGGTATAACTCAGTGATAGAGAGCACGTCCTCAGCATGCACGAGGTCCTGGGTTCAATCCCCAGGACCTCCACTAAAATAAGTAAATAATATAGTCCAATTCCCAGGTCTGAGATTTAAATGTATTTGTAATTCTTGTGGTCATACAAATGAATAAATAAATACCTAATTACCTCCCCCTATAATTAAAAAAAAAAGGCATCTAGAGTGACTCCCTGATCCCTGACTCTAGCTATCAGGGGATGGAGGGGTAATTGCCAAGAGCAGGGTAAATGTGCAGGTCTGGGCTACGGGGAAAGTGGTAGAGAAGGTAGCAAAATTGGTTCTGGGGGTGGACACATTCACTGAGGGGGAGCAGAGGGCCCTCAGCAGACACACACACACACACACACACACACACACACACACTTATGCTTAATTGTAGGATAGAGGTAGGTGGAGGAGACAGATGGCCTGGCCATGGAGGCTTCAGGAGAGCAAGGTGGTTACTGATGATCCAGGTGAGGGTTTTTCTGGGGACAGATGGGAGAGGGCGGCAGCCAGACGGCAAGGAGCAGAGGGGTGATGCGAATGAGGGGATCTCCACAGACCACCTTTTGCCACCTCCCATTTGAGCTGGGCTCCCACTTCTGCCCTGAGCAGCAGAAACCCCACCTCTATCCCCGACCCAAAGGACAGTTTCTTTCCTTCCTGCACCATTTCCTTGGACGGGACCAACAGCCAGGTTCTTGGAGCTTTTGGAACAGAGAAGGAAAATATTTTTGACTTCCTTCATGGTGATATGGTGGCTTTAGCTTTTGTCTGGAAACACAGAAGGGTGTAGACGTGGGGACTGTCACGCTTTCTTCTTCCTTCTCGGGCCAGGCTTCTGGCCACGTGTCAAGTCATACAAGCCTGTGACTGGGTCCCTCCTTAGAGACCCAGGTGTCCTGACCACCACCCACAGGGGATGCTGAGCTGGATGGAGCTCAGCCCAGCTGGCCGAGAGCAAACCTGCACTGCTAGCGTCACAGTAGCTGATTAAAGCAACGGGTCCAAGTGAAAATAACAACGAAGCCTTTCACCACCTACTCGGGTGGTATAAGCAACTGTCTAAACAGGAAAAAGCACTCATTCCCCTATGTTCTGAAACAGCGCATAGGTGTTAAAGAAAAAAGTATGATTCTAACCATCAAGGAAAAAATTATTTGTGAAACTTGTTAAGGAACGATGAAGCAGGCTCTTCAGGACCACTGTCTTAAGTGCAGGGAAGCCCCCTGCAATGGGGTTTTGCAAAGGGGAAAGAGATCAGGACCAACTCTGAGTACAATGTGAAGAAGTGCAAATTTATTGCCAAGGAGCAGGGTGGGGGTCAGTGGATGGAAAATTACTAACAGGGAACATCAGGGGAGAAGGGGGAATTCTGGCGAAACCGACCCACCAGGCTTCTTGCTGAAGGCAGGCCAGGGGATCAGACATCAGCTGGGGAGAGTGGAGGATGAGGAACTCCATCAGATACACAGAGTACGGGATTCTGGTTAAATCGACTTAGCAGGACTCTTGGGGGAAACAACTCGATGATGCAAAGGTGGACGCAGAAGTCCAAAAGTCAAGGGCTCGTGGATAAAGGGCTCAAAGAGCCTGGTTAGCATTTAGTGAAGAAGAAAATCTTTGTTGAGGGTCAGGTGGGCCACACAGACATGGGGGTCATCTCACAGATGAGAGACCCGGCACGAAAAGCTCTGGCGGGTCTGTGGACCCTGGGGTGGGGGCAGGGGGAGGAGTGGAAAAGTACTGAGTCCCGACTCAGAGTATGGAAAAGTGACTTCAAGTTTTCCTTCTCTTTCCTCGCATAAGGAGGCCTCAGTAGAGGTGAAGACCTCTGCCCAAGGCCTCAGATAAAGACCTAAGAGTGAAGGCATTGGGGCTAGGAATGCAAAACTGTAAACAGCATGACTGGCCAGTGCGGTCTGAGTCCTTCACTGCAACTCCATTTAGAGACTCCCGTGCACTGACAGCACCCCTGTGAGGTCAGCCAAGGAAAGCCTTTGTATTTGCCTCTGATTGGGCCTGAAAAATCACATATAGGTTTGTAGCCATGGGCTGAACCCCTCAGATGGTTCCACTCATAGATCGATCACCTCCCAGGAAGGTCACCTGACATGTAAAGCTGGTGTCATGATCTTGGGACCCCACATATGGGTGAGTAGTAAGGAATGGGGGCTTTGGGGAACTCTGAATGAACAACCATCCTCCTGTAGGACCCTGGACTGGCAAAATGCTGTTTAGACTCCAAGATGGTTCAAAGGTTAAAGGGGTGTAGACCTGGGGTATCTGGTACAAGCTGGAGAGGAGAGTCAGACTCAGATCCCAGAGAGGAGACCCTGAGACTCCATCTCAGCTCCCCCCAGGGTCCTGAACCCTCCAGATAAGGAGCATGCGTGTTCCTGTCTCGGTTTCTCTCCTGGGGATCCCTGACTGCTCGTCACATTCAGAGACACTGGGAGTCATTTCCCAGTATTTCGCTACCCTGAACCAGTCCCATTTTCCTGCATCCTGGAAAGCCTGATGCTTAGAGAGGAACAGTGGGCCCCTGGATCTCAGAAGAGGTTGAATTGGCCTCAGATTCTTTCTTCCAGATTTTGATGAGGTCTGTGGCCAGAAGGGAATTACCGTGTCTGTTGGCCACTTTCAGGATCTGAAGGTGGATGTCAAGGGGGCTAAAGTCAGTCCAGAAAAGCCCTGGGTTGGAATGGAAAATGGGGCTGGTCACCCAGGCCCTCCTTTGCCATCACTGACTAAAGCTTACTGATCGCACCTGCATCACCCTCCAGGGACCACTGCAGGAAACAGAGGCTCTGGCCGCAGCCCTGCCCAGAAACCTCATCCTCAGATTTGCTGCCCTCACAGTTTGTGGCCACAGCAGCTGCAGCATCTCTGGGTTGCAAAAGGTAATCTGGATTCTCTTGACACCATCTGATTATCCTCTCCCAGCCTGGAGGTAGGGGTGACCATGGAGACACTCTCTGATTGAAGCATGTGGTTTCTGTGTCAAACTTCTCCCTTTACCAGAAATAACACCTCTCTTCCTTGGGCCACTACAGGGGAAGTGAAAGCTGAGTTCTTCTCTCCTGGGACCACAACCAGACAGACCCTGCCTTCTTCCTGTACCCTGAGACCCCGGCTCTCACCTCCTGAAGATCAGCCCCCATTTCCCTCATGAGAAATATGGAGTCTGAGGGTCTATTTTCCCCAAATTGGTTTCTTGGAGCCTCGCTTATGGGAACAGAGGAGTGAGAGACCAAGATTCTTCTGGGATCGAATCCTCTCTTTGTTGGACCCACCCCAGGGCTGGAGTATCCTGGAGGCTGCAGGAAGCTTTGGGTGAACTCTTGATTTTAGCTTCAGGGAGAGACCTTATGGACAGAGGCTGGGACTGAGCCTGGAGCCCTGACTCCAGCCCGACTTGTTTGAGCCATTTGGGTTCGTGGTGAGACAGAACTTGTGACTGTGAGTCCTGCACAAACATGCACAGAATCTCCCTCCCTAGCATCTCCACAGCCTCCACAATTCCTCTCCTCCATGACGTGACCACATAACCTCCCTCCCCTTACTTATCTGCCTCTTGTAGCCTCTAGGTCTGCCACTGACAGCCCTCCATCCCTGAGGTCACAGGACTCCTTCCCCAGTCTAAGCAAGGTCTCTCAAATGCCTCAACACTTTGAATGTCTTCTGTTGCTTCTAAAGACAAAGCCTCAGTCAGCCTCCTGATATTTCATGCCTTCATTTATCTGACAGACACTGAGGCACAAAAAATTATAATCTCTCAGGATTTGGCACAAAGTTAGAGTCGGTAAAAGCTGCAGTAAAAATCCGACAATATACAAGAAGTTTGATTCTCTGACACCCATCTTTTGGTGACATTTTATACTGCTTCTTTCCCCCAGAGCTCAATATTCATAAATAAGTGAGAGAAAGAAAGGAAGCGGGCAGGGGAGGATAGAAGGGTAGAGGGAGGGAGAGGGAGAAAGACTTCATATCAGGACCCCAGGCCTTTTCCAATTCTCCCTTCCATCGCAGCCTACCCACAGAGAGACTGCTCTTTCCAACCAAGGCAACGTCTGGTCCCCAGGAAGCAGAGACTGCGCTGTCCGTGGTGCTGAAGCAAGATTGGGTCTTCAGTTTAGGAATAACTGGATTGTGCAGAAGGGC